TCAGCGAATGCGTTTCATTTTTGGAATTGTCGGTTTTTATTGCTAAATACATTAAATTATTTACATCTTTGTTTATGAGAGTTTGGATAACTGCATCTATTTCCAACAAGGCCGTAGCCATGGAGTCAACATTTGGGGGGACCAAATCTTCCAGGGGGGCTGGTGGTCCCCCCCCCAGAAAAAAAATCTAAATTTGAAAACGAATTCCCTGCCATTTCCTCCCTAAAATAAAAAAAATCACTAACACTTAGGATGAACTTCATATTTTTTTTACAATAATGTCTAATAGTGTATTGTATTACATTGCTCTGTTTTTTTCTTTTTTACCTTTTATTGTTTCATTGTATGTAATGGCAGAGATTAGGGATTAATAAAGTACAACCGTAACCACAATCATATAAACAGAAACATATTTTATAGCAATAGATTGGGGGGGGGGCATTTTGAGTATATTTTAATATGGGGGGGGGAATGTGCCCCCCCCCATATATATTATAGTTACGGTCTTGATTTCCAATGAGTAAAACGCCCTTTTTGAAGGCAAAGCATATTGATATTCGTTGTTCTTTTCAATAATATGATGGAGAATATGTATGTGGCTGATAGCACACAGACACCTTCCTAGATGATGCTTGCTCATTTGGTTGGTTGGCCTCTAAAATCTTTCGATGTTCTGTTCCCAGTGATATTCTTGAACAAGCTATATGCAGGTGATACGAGGCTAACGGGGCTATGCAGTTCAAGTCAGTTTTACCACTCTTTTCTACAAAGATGATTTAGTGATCATTCCATCATTGCACTATTTAATTTCCGTTAAAATATATATGATATAGGCCCGCGAACTGTATTTCAACAACTGCTTGTGCTTATTGATGATGTCCACAGGTTGTAGTTTCTAGTACCTTCTTGTTCCTGTGAAGAGCAGATTTACTTCTGGAACGTCTTCCTCTTTATCTGGGAGTCAGTCTGATTCCTAGGTTATGATTTTTTTTTGCTAGAGATCTGTTTAAAATTACTTTGTTAATATTCTTAGCTCTTTCGGTAAAGTCACGTTGAAGGGAAACAATAAAATAATAATATATATAACATATATTTTATTATTTTATATTGTTTTATATATATTTTATTATTTTGTTGTTTCCCTTCAACGTGACTTTACCGAAAGAGCTAAGCATATGAATTACTGCAGTCACGAAAGCTTTAAATCAAAATACTTTGTTAATCTTCAGATTTGTTTTCCCTCCCTCTTACCATTTGTGAATTGACAATCCTCAACCTCCTCTGTCCTGTGTTCATGTTTCCATTGCTTACTATATGTTAAATCAGTTTGCGGGTTGTGTTCTCTTATAACTTTTCTCATTCTTTTCCTAATAATTTTAAAGCGTTTTATGCATTATATTCTTTAGCATCCTTATTTATTTTTATATTCCTCCTCATTCACAACATGTATTTTGTGGTTTCATACATTTTGTTCTCTGTTTGCTCTTCAACAATTCCCCCACTTTCAATGCACTATTTATTAGTGTACTAGTAGATGCATTGTTTAAAATGGTATCATGTCTTATGGGTGAACTCAGTTTATCTGGTTTATTCATTGCACATTTAAATGCCTGAAAATATAGACAAGCCTCAATAGTTCTACGTGATGTTTCAAGAGTATATACTACATTTGTTAATTGTTGACTTAAAGCTTTCGTGACTGCAGGAATTCATATTCGTTGGGTCTTTCGGTAAAGCCACGTAGATATAAAAAAATAATACAAATAATAACAATGTTATTATTTTTTTATTGTGTGATAACAATGTCATTCTTTTTTCCATCTACGTGGCTTTACCGAAAGACCCAAATAATGTGATAAATTGTTCTTTCTACTATGATACTCCTTATAAATGGAACAATATTGTATCTCTCTTGCATTTAAAAAAGCATTCCCTCCCAATCAATCTTCAATTAAAATTGTACCTATTACTTTGAATGTGTCAATCCAAACCTCATATCGCATCTAAAAGTTTTATTTCTGAAATATAATTTATGCTTTACATGTTATACTACTGGATAGTTTTATTTAATGCTTTGTATTACTTAAGTTTTTTTTGCACCTTTAATGATATTTCTTTCAATATTTTACATTGTTTTTATGCAGTTGTTTGTTGTTAAGTTTGAGTTGGAGAACAACTACACACGTGTGAGGGGACTACACTCAAGAGTACACACGAATGGGTTAATCAACTCAACAAATTAACAACAGATCATTGTATTCTTGGTTCTTTCGGTAAAGTCACGTAGAAGGGAAACAATAAAATAATAAAAATATAAAACAATAAAATTCTCACGACGTTTCGACTTTAACACAAGCAATCACCATCAGGTGTTAAAACCACAGCAAGACAATTTTCTTGCTATGGTTTTCACAAATAATAAAAATATAAAACAATAACATTATCTTGCTGTGGTTTTCACACCTGATGATGATTGCTTGTGTTGCAGTCGAAGTGTCGTGAGAATTTTATTGTTTTATATTTGTATTATTTTATTGTTTCCCTTTCTACGTGACTTTACCGAAAGAACCAAGAATATGAATCCCTGCAGTCACGAAAGCTTTAAATCAAATCAGATAATTGATTAAGCTAAATATGAATCCCACTTGGGATTTTTTAGTCCGTAACTGTTTAGGTCTTTTTTGTTATTGTAGGAATCTGGAGAAAATCCACACCGATAAGAGAATAACACGGAAAACCACCCGAGACAAGTCCAGCAGTGGAATTGCTGCTCTGCTTATTCTTAGCACCTCTTATCCCAGAATTTGTCTTTGCCTCACGCACAATAATCTCTCCAAGATCCGCCAACCCTACTTCCAAAGCACAGGATTACAGTACTTAGTATATTGTAGTTTCACGCTCGCAGTGCTACGTTGTACAATATTTTATAAAAACGGACCCAAATTTCTTCGACTGACAGAACATCTGTCTCTACCTGCCTCTTGCATTTTCAAACCGACCACGCCATGTCCACAACTCTGAGCTCAGAAATATGGGATCGGTGGCCGTTGTTTTGTCAAACTCTACGTAACATAAAGGTAATGGCGTATGACTATATGTGTGTATGGCTGTGGGCGGTTTTTGTGCGGTAAATAAGTATTTGGAAGGGCAGCTGGGGAATAAAAAACTTACCAATATATATATAAAAAAGACTAGTTGGCCAGTCCATTAAGTGAAGATGCACCGAGTATTCTGAAACTAAATTAATCCAAAAGTCAGTTGACATTTGTTTTTATTGTAATCATATTATTAAGTTAAACTAATAAAAATGCGACGAAGCCTTGGTTATTGTAGATATTATTTGTGAATCAAGTTGTGTTACATTGAGTAAAGAAATGTTTAAATAATAACAAAATGTGTGCAGTCTCGTCTTGCATGGACAGGCACCCACACAGGAAGACGAACTTAGACCGCATACAGCCAAGAAGTTACTTTGAGTGCTAAATCTTAAGATGAGCTTAAACAATAAAAAAATAAATCCTACTCAAACGTTGCTCAACACAAAAAGTCTTAATTTTTGCCATTACTTACTGTCATTTGTACTATAATATTGACATCTTTATTGTTTTATATTTTTATTATTTTAGTGTTTCCCTTCTACGTGACTTTACCGAAAGAACCAAGAATATGAATCCCTGCAGTCACGAAAGCTTTAAATAAAAAAATAATATAATATTGACATCGTTTACTTTCGACTTTAAATGTATGATGATGATGATGGTATACCTTATACAAATCCTTTACAAGATTAATGCTAACCACAGAACGCCGTAAGAAAAAGATGCTTCCAACCTACAAAGTTATCTTGCGTACAAAAATCTATTGGGTTTAAAGCGAGTCATCGGTAAGAACTCGGTACGCTGTAAAACAGTTGGCATTGTGTAGGGTCCTTGAAGTAGCGGGTACGACAGAACCACAATACACATCTGGAACACGTTAGAGGTGTCTCGAGCGGAGGCTGGTGGTTTTGTCATGCCAGAAATACCTACATCATCACCCTCTGCCAATAGCAACAAACCAAATGTTTTGCAAATGATGAAAGCAATAAAAACCCCCACCTTCTCTTCTCATGTGTGTATTGTAAAATATAACAGAAAAAATTCCGTTGCATTAAAAATACACGTTCATCTTAAGTTGCCACAGTCACCGAAACGATGTGGCTCAAAGGCCAGTTTTGGATGTTTCTTGATACCCATTTTTTTTACGGACTGCATTAAATGTGGCTCATCACATTACATCTTGGGCGTTTCTACTCAATCTTGAATACGAGATGTCTCAGGCTGGCTCAAGCTGCTCACGGCAGCCCATGGCTCACGCGATGAGGAACAATATTTCTTAGTTTTACAAGGATATTGACTCTTCGTGTAATATGTGATAGTATGTACATGTTGCGTGTGAATTTGGGCGCATCACGTGTTTTACTAGACTGTCTTATGAACAAAACACGCTTAATGCATTTTGAATCTATTTCTCAAAAGCTATAAAATGCGTCTCCAATTATATTCCAACTCATAAATCAGCATCACGTCACCAGAAAATACATTCCCATTTGAAAAGCTAACGGCTAGCAGTGTGTACCCCGTGTCAAAAAATGACCCCAGAAGAGGTAGTTTCAGAACTATTTCTGAAGTTACTTCAAGAGGCATCTTTATCCACACAGGGGGCATACATTCAATTTATCCCACAAAGCATTCTAATCACGCCACTGAAGCCATACATGTTGAGATTCTCCAAGCTAGAATGAGCTAAATTATAAGCCGAATATAACTTGGTTTATGAGTGCTTAACCAGAATTAGACTCGTAACTCGCTTCACTTGAGAACACGGTTTAAACCAAAGGTTGATGGACTCACATTCTTACCCAGGATCTCAGCAGTGTCGATCTGACTGAGCGCTCTGCCCTGGAGCCAACTGGCCACCTTCAGAAATTCCACTTTCAGCTGTCATTTTGTACTATATTTAAAGTGACAGGCTTTCGAGTTTATTGCGTCCAGTCAAACATATATTACTGGACAATTCAATTGCACAATCATTTTCCTCTATTTGGGAAAAACTAACAAAATATTACATGTGAAATGCATTCAATCACCTTCATCTTCAACACCAGTGAATGTAAACTTAGTGATTGCTGTCCCTTAAAGGATTTACAAATGTTCATGCTGAGAGGCAGGTAAACGAGCCGAGACAGCTTAAAAAAACTAAACATTGTCGGTATTTTCTCGTAAATATCTGGCTAAAAAAATGCTTTAACCATTCATTTTGATAGATATTTGGTAATCGTATAGCACATATGCTTAGTAATCACAGGAAACATATTTGGCAAACACACAATACAAAAAAAACTCGTGTAATCATTTTTTACTACGTGAGAAATACATTTTAACAGCGCAATAAGAAAACGAGGCTTAAACAATGTTTAGTAGCCAAGACTGGGTTCAGAGGTCAAACCACATATTGGGAGCCATCGTCCACCCAGGGCACATACTGCACCGACATGGGGACTCGCCATGCTGCGTCTTTGTGAAAGTCGTGGCCCGGAAGCTAATCAACCAGGGTGTGCCACTGCGGCTGATTGGAGTACACCAAAACACATTTCTAGTAACACAATAGGCAGCAGTGATTGAGCAGGTAAACATATGGAAAACACGTGGCCCAGCATGCTCTAACCCCTCATTTATGATTTTCTTCAACGTGTAACGTTTTATATATATAAAAAAAAGTTACGATTGTCAAATGTGATTTGTTTAACTGCATACTTTGGTAATAATGTCGTCGAGTCTTTCGTTAAATATGACAGCTATAAATTTAAAGGTAATGGAACTCGGCACATCTTTGAGGCAGCCCTCCACGAAGTGCGGGCACACAAGAGAAACACTCATCAACATGTTGCATACTTTCACAAAATTGTAAGTTGTTGGTAAACATGCGAGCAAAAGCATTTGATGTATATAAAATATCACGTTAATGAACATATCACAAATGCTTAAAATGTGTATAAAATATAGGAAATTACACCCTGATGAGTATACATACAAACATTTATAAGGTGGCAAAGCACCACAGTAAAGCTTTTTCTGTTTTGGTCAAATGCATGCAAACTTGATGCTCAAATTATAAGACATCATCTCCAATAGATTCATGGTCCGAGTGCTTATTCCACTCTCACGTTTATGTTACTGGCAGTGATCATCAAATTGCCCAGGCTAAAAGGTATGTTTTAGTCTAAAAAAGCCTTTTCTTTAATGCACATTTGTCATCACAGCACTGCCCACATTATATCCTGCCAACTTACAAATACCCACAGAATGCACTACAATCACAGAGCTACTCAGTAGTGGCACAATGATTTGTGTTCCTTGCAGCCAGAAATACTTTCCATTGCTTTAGGTGGCGATGAGGTTCACCCTGGAAGGCCATCATACATGGTAGGCATTTAATGCTCGTGCAGCAATGCTTTTCTCAAAAATGATCAAGTTGATGTAAAAAAATGGACTTGCATCGTTTCCATATCCTATATTATAATGGCACCGTTAGTTTCTAAAACATGTATCTATGGAATACCCTTGGAAGCGTAATAAAATAAAAGGAAGCCATTAATGTATTGTTTTTGTGTTATCTTAAATTATCACTTAATTTCACCGTGCAATACTCTCAAGGTGATATACAACCTTTTTCTAAAAACAATTACATGTATATTCATATTCAGTTATCCTTTATATCAGTAGATGTTACAGTTTGTGCAATATTTTATATTAATGGCATTGGTTTACATGCGACTAAAATTATTATTGAAGTGTAATACGTGGAAAGGTATAAAAATATATCCATTTGAAGGCTAAAATTTTAAGCAATAATTTTTTTATATACAGTGTGTTTATGATTGTCGAAATGTATGTTGTTAATGAAATAAAATACTTGCTGAAAATGGGAAAATCGTTATTATTTTGCCTGTATATTCTCCGTTACTTATAAGAAGCACGACTTTTACCCTTGTGCGACCGCGAGGCAATTTGGTAGCTGTCATAACGACGGTGTGTTCATTGGCGTGGCCAAACGTATAATACTTGTGTGCACATTGTTGTGTGGTGGTGGTGGTACCTATGCTACCAATAATATATCATTGCTGTCATGATGCTGCTACATGTTATGTCCAAGGTGGTTGACCGTGGATGCCAACAGGAATCTCCGTAGAAGAGGATGCGTTCAATATCCAGTGATGATGAAGCACAGGCACCAGTCCTATGGAAGGATCAAAATACAGCGATGTCCTCCATGGTCAAGGTCCTATGATTCTGGAGGCGCGCCTATGGGACAGGAAAAGACATAGTTCGCTTGTCAAAACAACCCAAGGCACGTATGTGTTAGCACACAGCTGCCATTAGATTATTTATTTACCAGGGAAAAAGTCCACTGAGGGGCAATAACTGTTTTTGTTGCAACAATAGCCTGTGTGTGTATTACAAATAAACAACCATGGAATTAACAAGAATGAGGAATGGATTAACAGATTTTTTTTTATCCACAAGGTTTTGGGGTTAAATCGCGTAAATATAAATGTGCCGTTAAATCTGCCACCACCCGACACAGGCAATTGGTAAGATTTGTCACGTAAACAAAACGTGCCAATTCGTTACTGGTTCAGCACACCGGTTTGTTAGAGAGTGAACCCAGAACATTTACAATTCGAGTACGACGTTTCGCCGGTAATTACAACCAGTCTCATCAGGCGGACAAGTCAGAATTGTCGAGAAATCCTCCTGTTTCGGTCTTATTTTTTAAATATATAAAGTTATAAATGAGATAGAATGCAAGGCACAATACTCTACGTCGAATAAAAGTAATACAAGGGGCGTGGGACAATATGCTGAACTTCACAATAAGGCTTGCTCGTCTCTGAACAGATTAAATGACTCCAATCAACTGCAGCACAATCAGGATTTCTATAGTGCTTTATAATAACAGTACAGCTCGTTATACCAATGCTGGATTAAGGCATCTCCACATTTTGTTGGTCACGGGTGCCGTTTGACTTATACTTTATGAAATTCGGCAGTGCAGGTTCAGTGAAGGATCCCAGACACAGTTAAGATGTCATTTTCCACTGGTGTTAGCCACGGTCAGAAATTCAACTCAGGTTACCGAGGTCACATCATCACAGCCCCACCGTTAATATTGTAAATATGAGCAGTTCTTAATGTGATTCGTCCAACTGAGCATCACACTCTCACAAGCGTATTGTACACACAAGCAGCAGGTGACTGAAAGATCATGCAACATTGCCTTCATGGCTAAGAGATCAAAGTTAAGACCGGATTAGTTCTGCTTTTGAACATCAAAGCCACATGTGTGAGGGTGAGGAGAAACATATGAGAATGCACAAAATGCAGGCACTCTATCGAGGACATCTTCCTTGAGTGAAGTCAAGTTAACCTCATTACATTACAACGTTGTCCACATTTCTACACAAAATTCCAATGCTTATTGTATTGAAAAACCACCCCATCCATTGAGGAAATACTTTAAAAGTACATTTACACAGAAATAATACAATTGTACAAATAAGTAATACAAGATGATGATAATAATAACGGGGATACATTTAAATTATAATGACAAGAGTGGCCTAGGGAATTACACAATTCATATATTGCTAACTTCGTTTTTGTTTATATATACAATTTTCAGATGTTGTTCGACTTTTTTTTACAACTCTCAACTAAGAACGAAAGGGGGGGGGGGACAGAATACACACAATGGCTTTATGGCAAAATGTAGGCTTCTTAAATACCTCTAAAAAAATCAATAAATCCCTGCAGGTACGGAAAAATAACTTCTTGGGAAGTCCACTGATAGAATGGCCTACACCTCCAAAAATACGGTCATATAGACATTAAATGATTAATCAACTATTCCCACTAATGTCTTTGTTTTCCCACCTATGACTTGATAAGGAGAGCTAATGCATCATCTATTAATTCCCACAGAGAGCAACGCATGGTTGCATTGAATAACACAATAGCAAAGCTCACATTCTTTAGCTTACAGCACATCAAAGCGACTAGAGCAGATATTAAATGTTAGGATTTATTGCGATATATGACATTGTTACTGCATTAAAATCCAACCTTCCACAAAATGTACAATTGGAAGTATACAGGGTGTTCGTATACATGCGGTTGGAAGGCAGGCCGAGCAAAAAAAAACTACACTCCTCAGCGTAAAACAATCGAGGCTTTGTTTTGAGCCAACTGCTTTGGAAAGGGAAAAATATCCCGAGCACCATCTGCAAGGTGGAATCGTTAAAAATGTTGACAGAGCACAGCACATACGTATTTCAAATTGGTGAGCAGCACTGTATGTCAATGAGGGCCAACGTTTCAACATGGATCGGACCCATCGTCCCTACCCGACTTTTGGTTCAACACATTCCATAATTAAGGCCACTGGAAGAAAAAAAATGGACGTGTTTAACTCGAGGTGCACGTAAAAAGTTCGGTGTCTGTGGAACATGCAGTTTAGCAGTGGGTGCGGTGGAACATAACTGTTCTCATAGATACAAATGCTAGAATGGAAATCATGAAAATGTATTCTGCACGACAGAGGCTGTCAAGTGGACTGTGGTGCATCATTATTCATGTCTGTTCGGAATGTGATATCATTGGTGTTTACTGTTCAGGTGCATTTAAGTTTCCATGCACTGTACATAGGTATTTGTGCACTTCTGCATAGGGGTGGGGTTCTGGTGAGAGACGACATGGGGGGTTGGGGGGGGGAGCACCCACGGGTCTGGAGAACAGTGCTTGATGTCTAGAGGACATCAAGCCAAGACAGCAAAACACCGTGCTCCATATGTTTGACATGAACCCTGCTTCAGAGTAGATAGCCAGAAGCCGCATTACTTTTTGACATTGCTTAAGTATATTTTATCAATACATTATTTTAAAAAAGGTGAAATATTTTATGTTCTGAAGAAACATTCTGTACAAACACATATATTCCTACAATTGTGCTAAATATTTTGAACCTTTTCAAAAATAATGTTTCATCCAAAAGTAGATGTTTTTTTTCTTTTCTTGACAATGTTAGTTTGTGCAAATTATTCCAAGTTTGACTGTCCATGTGACTATGCACAAGTATTGTTGTCGTTGCTATTCTCCAAATGCACGGGTTGTGCATGTTCGCGTTGTTGTCTGCAATGGTTTTTTTTAAACGCTCCATTTACCATCTCGGATTTGCTGGCGAAATAATCATCGTAGCAACCAATGGAAATGCACTCTGGGAAATGATGGAAAAACGTAATAAATAAGGCTTCAAAAGTGAGTCTCGAAGATAACACGTGAACAAGACAAAGTTCATGCACAACAAGTCCTTTGAACAAACGGAGACATTTCAGAAGAACGAAACTGGAATAGACATGAGAGTACTTACACCACGGGCAGTTAGTGAAGGCGTTTCGGGATCAAAATCATAAAATAGAGGCAGGCAAGACTAGGTATGAGTGTTTTTAGAAAAAACTTAATCATGAAAAGCAACATACTGATGTGCATAAACAAATAATGTTTGCAATCAGTGCATAATACCCGCTATGACACATGGATCGGAAACGTGGACATTGGCAATGAAAATGGAACAGGGGCTGACGAGTGGACAAAGAAGAACCGAGAGGTACATGCGAGGAATTGCACGAAGCGACAGGAAGAAGACAGATTAGAGAACATCCACAAGTTTGGGGAAATAATATTGGCTGTAAATAATGATGTGGGCATGGTAAAGGACACGTCATTGGAAGGGATGATAGCTGGTGGTTGAGACTAACGATGGGAGAGGCAGCCATAGGAGGGAGCATGCCGAAGAGGACACACCGCAGAGCGGAGGGATGAAATCAGCTCATGAAAAGATGCTCAATGGATTTTCGCATCGCGAGCCCATGGGAGATGGCAACAGCTTGGGGAGTTGTTCATGGTTGATGATAATGCATTTCTTCATGCAATGTCAGTGAAGCTCTTCCATCCTCAAGATCAGTTCTGACAATTTTTTTATTAAGGCCTTGGTTTTGTAAGAGCTTGGATGACTGCATCAGTTTCTACTGAATGCCATGCTTTTTTAAGCATGATGGTACTTGATATTAATCTTTATTTAATATATGTGGTCATTAGTTGATTGGCCTCTAAAATGCCCATTATTAAGTTGCATATGATCTTTATGAACAGTTTATATACGTGTAATTCCAGACCCATTGCAATAAAATGCAAATACATGCATTTCCTAATAAAATGCCCCAATGGATGTCATTGCATTCATAACCTAAGAATAAAACGTCATTTTATTTGATGGCAATGCAATTCTTACCTGGAAAATCTGCCAGGCTGGCACTTGCAATGGGTGGCCCAGCTCCTCGGTTAGTAATGGGGTCAAAAGGTTCTGCTCCAAATATGTCCTTAGCTGCATTCCAAAATAATACACAATTACTTTCAGGTCAAAGGGTTAACTTGTAGTAGAGGAAAATAATACTAATAATAATAAATCCTTACTCACCCATGAAATGATCAATTTAAAAAATAATGAAGGAAAATTAATCAATTAAGTAAATCACATACAAGAAAAAGCACTCAGGCTTGTTCCTCTTCTTTTATATACAAACTACCATCACCAATGTCGTGATTTTGATATATTATTGGCACAAAGAACATGCTCAACCTTAGATTCATCCGACATTAAAACTCGTTTCCTTTTCTCTCCACCCCCAGAATATTTTAAAGAAATCCCAGTGGAGGACCACACACAGAGACACACAGAAACACACACACATAAGAGGTTCCAGTTGAGGAGTACATCCACAGAAACACATACACATAAGAGGTTCCAGTTGAGGAGTACATCCACAGAAACACATACACATAAGAGGATCCAGTTGAGGAGTACATCCACAGAAACACATACACATAAGAGGTTCCAGTTGAGGAGTACATCCACAGAAACACACACACATAAGAGGTTCCAGTTGAGGAGTATATCCACAGAAACACATACACAAGGTACACACAGACACAGACAAACATGCAGACACACACACACACATGGGTTCTAGTGAAAGACAAAAGACAAAGTTCCCCCGTATAGCCTTAACAGACTGTAGGGGCAAGTGCTGTTAGCGAGCACCTATGAAGGCCGGAACGGTACACGAGGGGATGGGTGGCCAGCACCACGCCCGACCGCCTTTGTCTCCCCAGTGGCGATGTTTACACATCGCACCAGGTACTCATTTGAGGCTGAGTCGACCTAGGGGAGGCCCGGGACCAGTTCAGATAATCGTCACTGGTGTTGGCCGTGAGCGGGAATCGAACCTGGGTCGCCGGGTTCATAGCGCAGTGCGCTAACCGCTGCACTACCGCTCCACAAACACAGATATATAGGGGGCCAAGTAAACAAATACACAAAGACAAATATCCCCCATAGAGACTTTAGCAGAGTGTTTGGGCAAGTGCTGTGAGCGAGAAGTTAGGCAGGCTGGCATGGGACATGAGGGTGTGGTATTGCTAGCACTATGCCTGGTCGTTTTTGTTTTCCCAGTGCACAGCGCACTAGGTACTCATTTAAGGCCGAGTCCAGCCATGGGAAGGCCCAGGATAAATGCTGATATAACTCGCCACTGATGTTAGCCATGGCTCGGAATCCAACGTAGGTTTTACAGGGTTCATAGTGCAGTGCGCAAACCACTGTGTCCACTGGTCCCCACACACTGTGTCTTTAACACAAAGACACACACACGCATCTCCAATTAGCATGGTTGGCTATATACGGTGCAAAATAAATTAAACATACATACATGAAGATCCCCTATGTAGCCTGTAACAGACTGTTGGGGCAAATGCTGTTAGCGAGTACCTATGAAGGCCGGCACGGCATACGAGGGGGTAGGTGACCAGCACCACGGGCGACTGCCTTTGTCTCCCTAGTGGCGATGTTTACACATCGCACCAGGTACTCATTTGAGGCCGAGTCGGCCTAGGGGGAGGCCCAGGACCAGTTTAGATAATTTTCACTGGTGTTTGGCCGTGAGCGGTGAATCGAACTCGGGTCGCCGGGTTCGTAGCGCAACGTGCAAACCGCTACACAACCGCATCTGTGTACATACATACGCAGATGCGCGCACACACACACACAAGGGTTTCGGTTGAAGCGCGCGCACACACAAGGCTTTTCCCAACATGCTGGTGGCACCTCTCTCGGCAGCTCGACTAGGAATTGGTGGCGGAACAGCCGGGGAGGTGGCGGCAGGGGATGCTGGCGAAAAGGGCACCATGTCGAAGAGGTCAGCCGATGCCACTCCGTCGAACACCCCATTGAGTGCCTGCGTGAATAAGCAGCCACAAAGACGACCTCGACATTCAGCTCGTGAACAAAGTGCCCAACCCCAAGTGGTTTGATCGAACGCACGCGACTGAGCTTAACAAAATAATACCTCAAAAAAGGGGACTAAATGATCATGTACCACTGTGTACCGCGCTGTACGTGAAAATAACGGAGTTCTCATCTGAATCATCAAATGCCTTCTGGAAAATGTAGAAAATGTACTTGCTTTATACTGCCATTAAAAACACTTTGCAATTGACCACATTAATCTATTGGATATGACACCTGATTGCAAACTTACCAAGTTATGGAAAAAAAATGCACAGAGAGAAAAAAAGAAACCTCTCAGTAATTTTGCAAGTTTGTCACACAATAGATAGTACTCATCAAATGGATCCAGAACATTCATAGGAGAAAGTAAAGGCAAAAGCTTTGAATATGGGAGTGCAGAGATATAATTACATCCCTGACATTCTACGCTGTCTTGGAAGTGCAAGCTTTTTAACGATTAAATTCTTGATCTTAGGAGAGGAAAGCTTTCCATGAATATCTACATTACACTTTACATTGTCCAAATGCTTCTGTTTTCCTCATTGTAAATGTTATTTGTATACATGTGCATTGTACGCTGTCGTCGCAATATGTTATATGAACATGGATCCTTGCCTCAAAACAGAGGCCTTACAGGGTTGAGGGTTGCAGTGAATTTAGAACAGCATTCATAGTGAGGGCTGTTGTGTGGTGTGGTGTAGAGTAGATCATAGATTTCCAGGCAGCAGGCAGTAGCAGCAGGAGCTCACAGGCAGGAGGGCCAAAGAGTAGTTGGGCAAGGATCTCACATCTGGCAAGGCTGACTGATCCAGGCAACCACACAGAGCACAGGGCCCTGTGAGTGCTGCAGCAAGATTAGAAGCAACAACAACAAAAAAAGACGAGACATCCTGAAGAGGGAAAATCATGCTGGTGCAACAAGAACAGGCCCATACGCTGAAGACTGCACACCTGGTATCTCTAGAACTTTCAATTTTAAATTCCCTGCTTCAGTGAACACGCTACAAAAATGGAAATATATTCACGGACTGTAAATAACAATGGTATTCGAGCCAAGAAGACTTAATTGTCAGTATTTTCCACTGGCCACAGTGGAAAATACTGAAATTGGTCATATCTGTTCAACACAACAGATATGACCAATTTCATGCTGTTAGCACTCATAAGCAAGCAACTATGTGGTTTTAAGATTTGCAAAAAAGGCATGCCTATTTGTTATATGAAGGCCACCTTAAAAACCCTGGATCCCACTTTAAAGAAAACAAAAGCTCAAATTACGGATATAAAGCTATTTAACATACATTGTTGTTCCAGATAAATAAATCTAGTAAAATAATTTCTGAAACAAGATCATGTTTTACTGATAGGATATATTCTCCACGTTATTATTTTATAGTCTTTCATTAAAAGTTAAATATATGGTCTCAACATAATTACTGTAATTTATATAAACCATTGTAGCATTGCATCTTGTACATGCGGTAGGTACATCCTCAACTTAAGCTGCTCACAATGCACTACACTAGCATTTAACATAAACAGGGTTTTGCTGCCCTCCTGTGTTAGAAAATAGTTGGACACATTGAAAATATGGAACAAAGCCAATTTGCGTTTGACGTTGTTACGATTAAAATATTGTATTTAAAATCCAAATCAAAATGTCATATTGATTTTTTTACATAAAGAGTTTGTATCACAATCGAGACGTGATTGGGTATAATACTAACACATTTAATTTAGCTGCGTTACAATGTTACAGCACAATGTAGTTTATATGGCAATAAAAATACTTGTGACATTAAGCAAAATTCTCTTTCATATGCATCTTAAGATTAGACGGGTGACACGGTTGCTTTTTACATGCAGAGAACTGGTGCCATTCAGTTTATGCACAAACACGGATTGGCATTGGGTAGCGATGAGATTCCACACAACTGCAACATTTATTTGACTCATGCCATTTCTGTTGCGCTTGAACCTCTTGCAGTGTTTACCCGTGTACGTGTATCCGACACACACTTGCAATGGAAACATCTATTGAGGAAGAGGGGCAGGAAAGCAAACACTGTGCAATAAACACTAATTGAGAGAAAATTAAATGTGTTATTATTACGCTTGTTTACCCAGGAAAGCCTATTTTTCAGGAGGGTCCTTGCAAGTTTTTGCTGTAGGGGGCGATGCTGCTACGTGCAATTGCAATTGCATAATTTGAAATTAATGTTGTTGCATTGTAATGTTTGGCCAATACCAGTTACATTCTACACATATTAATTTTACCCATGGAAGGAAACTGGAGAACTTGGGAGAAAGCCAGTCGGAATAAGGCGAGAACTTACAAAGTCACCTGAATTTGAAATCGAACCCAAGGCCTTTTTGCTGTGAGGCGAAAAGGGCTACCACTGTGCCATTCTCCTGTTCAATGTACCACCACCACCACCCAATGTAAATACAGGTACGTTATTTCTCTCTCAAACTTAAACATCGTGCAGATATTCAGAGGGATGGAACTTAAAGGTAGATGTAAACGTAAATTGGAATTAGTTTTCTCAGAGGCAGTGCAAGAGATAGGCTTTTTTATATTTGTAATCTGGCCGAAAGAGTGAGGAAAAGTAAAAATAAGTGTTCATTTGTCACGTTACGCTGTAAAAAAAAAGACGAGTTCTGTTTACGTTATAAAGCCTTACTGAATTTGGCTGTGGCGGGTTTGAGGGCACATTTCTATATTTACGTGATATTGGTCGCGAAAGCGTGTTAAACTAAATTAAAACTAATAAACTGCTTAAAAAAGTTTTTTTTAAACAACGGTTTCATCAACAACTTGGTTTAACTCGCGGTCGAGAAGTACATCAATGATGCACCTGCGCCTGCTCCCACATCAACGCTTACTTGAATTAATCACTATCTGTTACTCGTTCACACGGAGCAGGCGATTCGAGAGTTTTAATGCCGCGGCGTTTTTTACCTACACAAATATATATAAATAACAAGGCGTCCATACAAAATGTAAATTGCTTTAAAGTAGATTAATTGATGCCGATTTTGATATAGATATGCATTGTCACCGGATCTGAGTATGTGTGCAAAATTTGGAATTGATTGGACAACAGGAAGTAGACTACATTTTTATTAACACGTAGGCTTTCGTGACCAATATTATTCATTATAAATGTTTTTGGGTTAGATCGCATTATTTATGTGTCGTAACCCTCCACCACCCGACATGGCCAAACAGTAATTTTTTTGTAAATGTTGTGGATTCACTCTTCGACACACCGGTGGGCTAAAGTAGTGAACTATTTGTCTTTTGTAAACGTGACACATTTTTTACTGTTTGGCCGTGTCGGGTGGTGGAGGGTTACGACACATTTATAAATAACGCGATCTCTAACCCAAAAACCTTTATTATGAATAAATTTTGATGACAAGATTTGACCACGACAAACATAGGAGTGAAGTTCAGTAAAACCATTGAAAAAGAAGACAGGTGTTTGTCAGTCTATTTAAGTGATCGCTTCAGTGATGTCACTGGTAGCGTCATTTCATGATTTAACATGTAATTAATGGAATGTTTCAATGATCATATTTGTTTTTTTATTCCTAATAAATCTGATCATTTAGGAAACTGAGTATGACTGCTACATGCATTGATCAAATACAGTGGAATCCCAACAGTGTGCACCTCTCACCTCCTCTGTGTGCACAATCACTTGTGTGCTTTTGAGCCTTTCCTCTAGTTTTTCAATTTTCTTCTGGAGTTCACCATTCTCTGTTTGAAGTTCAGTAACCTAGAATGCGTAAAGGTGCATGTAATGACATTAACATCCGAGTAGCATTTTAGAATTCCGATAACCTTGTCAAACAATGCATTCTGTATTCATGTGCAAGTTAAATAACGTGGCTTTAATGTGCATCTCCTGGCATGTCGTTCTTGACTATGCTATGCGTCTTAACAGATGTCGTAAAATGATGATATATACACACATTTTTTAAACATGCATATAAATAATAGAATACTGTGCTTTAAAATAACTCCATCTTACCCTTTTTTGCAAAGCAATCACTTGTTTCTTTGACTCCACGTCTTTGCCACCAGATTCAAGAAACTTTCTGTAGGCCAAATCAAAAGCCTGTCCAATGCTCAATGTAATTTCTTCAGCCTAAAATTATAAAAAAAAACAGATACTGTAATTGCAACATTTTATAAAGTGTATTATTATGACGTGTATCTTGTATGCCACATAACCAATAGTTCGTTTAAAGTGTGTTCTTCACAATGAGGGCATTCACATTCCATGGCAGACAAGCTTGAGCTCTACGCATAATGCAGCCGAGGCTTTTATGTCATTAAATAAGTAAATAATAAACCCACCGATTTCTCGCTGTCAAATGCAAAGCAAAAATGCTGGTCAGTTTCAGCATCTTTGCAAATGAAAGCAAGGATGCGCTTGTCCGTCTTGTCATCAGCACAGAAAGATATTCGGTGGAGTGGACAGTTATGTTGACTTTCCTGTGAAAATAGGAGACGCAAAACAACGGCTGAAATAAAAAAACAACAACAGGGTTTTGTAGTCACTGAAAGGAGAGGAAGATCCCAGCCACACAGCTGATTGGCCTTCTTCAGGAAAGTTGCATAGCACCAGCTTCAAGGAGGGTCAAAACACAGGTTACATGCACTCTATGGGGGTCCCCCTTTCACAAAGCATTTAATTGCACCGTCACATTCACCCACTGCAGGAGCAAAACTGCATCATTTTTAGCCGGAGCATTCTGGCTGGGCAAAGTGGCACAGGTGTTAAAAGCTGTAAGCTCTAAGGTTTAAAGGCTCTAACCTATTCCTGATTTCACAATGCACCACTGTATCATTAGGCTGTGGATAACATGGGTGTTATAAAGGGGCCTGCAATCAATTTCAGCCTACTCTGCAGGTTGGCAGGAAGTATCCTGACAATATGCTCAAGGCATTGTTAAGGATGGAGCAGTAGCGCCACCTGCAGCTCCAATATGGAACTGTAAAGGGTAAACTATGAGTCCTACATGAAACCTGCTTGTTGGACCACATGCGCCACAAGGGGCACGGTTTGACACGCACGGTGCATGTGTTTGCTCATGGGATTCCTTTTCGTTGTCATTGTTCCTCTGAAAAAATTCTGCATTTTGTAGTTATGAAGTGGAGTGTGGGGTATTGACATCCCGTGTTTTGCCTTCTGTGCACATTATCCACGATAACCGTTTGTGATGCAAATCAAAAATATTTTAAGGGGACCTTTCTTAAAATATACAGAAGACTTTTTGGATTTTGCCAGTTTGCTCTACATACTCGCATTTGGTGTTTTATTAATAGTTTTTAGGCATAATTTTTTTTGTGTCTTAACTTGCATCTTTTCTGCCCATGTCATGCTCTGGAAAAGTGATCAATTTACAAACAAAAGGTCAGGTGTCAGGAGACCATTGAGCCCACATTCCCCTTCTGCAGTCAATCAAATGGGTGCCATGATGTCAAAGGTGACGTCACGGAGGTCATCCAGCATACTGGTCCCCACCATAGTTGTGTGGAATTTACACCAATGACTCAGTACTACGAATGGACGTAATCTAATGCGACATTTCGGCACGGAGATATTTTACTTTCCAGGTTTCCCGATCTTTTCTTTGGGTTCGGTTTGTGCGATTTTGCATATACACGGGTAACCTATTTATACCCAAAATGCATTATATGCAGTTTGAACTCACTCATATGCAGCTATACGGTCAGATGTGGGACAGCACTGTGTGTACTGAGGCGATACTGTGTATACTGTAGAATAAACAGGCCTCGTAAAATAGTTGTGATGTCATCTTCAATGACCATGCTGTAACAGTGGATGCATTGCTCACTGCAGAGTGCCCCAAGTGAAATGTGTCTCGTGAGATGATAATAGCGCAATTAAAATATAATGTCAAAATTTAATTTTAAAAATCCCCCCGTAATTTCTTTATCATTGGAAACTTCACAGTTGCATTGTATCAATGTTTTTTCTGCGATAATTATCATGTTTGTGTTCCACCTTTTTTCAGTTGTAAAAAGATAACAGCTTGCATTAAAGTTATATAGTAGTAATGTAATATTGAAATTGATAACCATTAAAGCGAGATGCCATGTACGGTATAATACACAAGTTACTTTTACTCAAAATGTTGCCAATGTGTTTCTTTGTTTGTCATCATCATTGTAACCGTTACCTTTGATTTGGGATCCAAGATTTCCACACCTCGTATAGAAACCTGAAGTTCCACTTTTGGAAGTTTTTGACCTTCGGATTTTTTCAGGTGGCACGCAAACTGTGATAAAAGAGTTGCGAAAACAAGTTTTCGTACATGCCCATACACTCTTATAGATTCAATTATTATACAGCATGTACAGTGAGGGAAAAAAGTATTTGATCCCCTGCTGATTTTGTAAGTTTGCCCACTGACAAAAAAATGATCAGTCTATAATTTTAATGGTAGGTTTATTTGAACAGTGAGAGACAGGATAACAACAAAAATCCAGAAAAACGCATGTCAAAAATGTTATAAATTGATTTGCATTTTAATGAGGGAATAAGTATTTGACCCCTCTGCAAAACATGACTTAGTACTTGGTGGCAAAACCCTTGTTGGCAATCACAGAGGTCAGACGTTTCTTGTAGTTGGCTACCAGCTTTGCACACATTTCAGGAGGGATTTTGTCCCACTCCTCTTTGCAGATCTTCTTCAAGTAATTGAGGTTTCGAGGCTGACGTTTGGCAACTCAAACCTTTAGCTCCCTCCACAGATTTTCTATGGGATTAAGGTCTGGAGACTGACTAGGCCACTCCAGGACCTTAATGTGCTTCTTCTTGAGCCACTCCTTTGTTGCCTTGGCCGTGTGTTTTGGGTCATTGTCATGCTGGAATACCCAACCACGACCCATTTTCAATGCCCTGGCTGAGAGAAGGAAGTTCTCACCCAAGATTTGACGGTACATGGCCCTGTCCATCGTCCCTTTGATGTGGTGAAGTTGTCCTGTCCGCTTAGCAGAAAAACACCCCAAAGCATAATGTTTCCACCTGCATGTTTGACGGTAGGGATGGTGTTCTTGGGGTCATAGGCAGCATTCCTCCTCCTCCAAACACGGCGAGTTGAGTTGATGCCAAAGAGCTCCATTCTGGTCTCATCTGACCACAACACTTTCACCCAGTTGTCCTCTGAATCATTCAGATGTTCATTGGCAAACTTCAGACGGGCATGTATATTTGCTTTCTTGAGCAGGGGGACCTTGCGGGCGCTGCAGGATTTCAGTCTTTCACGGCGTAGTGTGTTACCAATTGTTTTATTGGTGACTATGGTCCCAGCTGCCTTGAGATCATGGACAAGATCCTTCCGTGTAGTTCTGGGCTGATTCCTCACTGTTCTCATGATCATTGCAACTCCACGAGGTAAGATCTTGCATGGAGCCCCAGGCCGAGGGAGATTGACAGTTCTTTTGTGTTTCTTCCATTTGCGAATAATCGCACCAACTGTTGTCACCTTCTCACCAAGCTGCTTGTTAATGGTCTTGTAGCCCATTCCAGCCTTGTGTAGGTCTACAATCTTGTCCCTGACAACCTTGGAGAGCTCTTTGGTCTTGGCCATGGTGGAGAGTTTGGAATCTGATTGATTGATTGCTTCTGTGGACAGGTGTCTTGTATACAGGTAACAAGCTGAGATTAGGAGCACTCCCTTTAAGAGTGCGCTCCTAATCTCAGCTCGTTACCTGTATAAAAGACACCTGGGAGCCAGAAATCCTTGTGATTGAGAGGGGGTCAAATACTTATTTCCCTCATTAAAATTAAAATCAATTTATAACATTTTTGACATGCGTTTTTCCGGAATTTTTGGTGTCATTCTGTCTCTCACTGTTCAATAAACCTACCATTAAAATTATAGACTGATCATTTCTTTGTCAGTGGGCAAACGTACAAAATCAGCAAGGGATTAAATACTTTTTTCCCTCACTGTGCCTAAACACATTCCTGCGGAGGGAGCTGGTAGGAACGTTGGGTTGCTCGGTCAATGGCCAGAGTCAACGGAAGTGTGGTGCATTCCGCAAATATGCCCGACTGTGAGGGCGGGCACAAGCCGGCGTGAGTAGGTTAAACGTTGAGTTTTATAAGGGCACCACGGGGTGACCAGCCCCTCCCCACCCTCCTCTCTCCACCCAGCACCTCCCCACCCAGCCCCACCCTCCCATTTTTGGATGCATGACGGACGGACGGACACAATAATCCCCTGTGGGCTGGTGTAACCAGGAGGATCCTACCAGTATAAATACATACATGTTAACATAACCACTGTAAATGCAATTTTGTTTGATATAGTGTCAACGTAAACCATGACCACGTCACCCGGAAAGATGCCAATTTTGACAAATCTCAGAAAGCTAAGCAGTGGTTGAGGCCTGGATAACGCTCGGATGGGTGACCAGTGTGCACACGCAAGTTAAAACAGGGCTTGACAGGCTAATGTCGTGGGCAGTGGACATTTTTTGTTGTTGTACTGCACTTATATTATCTCATATCTATGCTTCCCTCTTTCACCAACCCACAATGACCGGCTTGTTGAAAGTATGGTCAAGAAACCTCGATGACCTGCACAGCATGGGGAGGCTCACATCCAGCAGTGGATTGGCAATAGGGCTGTACATAATAAATGCACGTGGGAGTATATAATTCATGGAATGCATTGAATTTGCTTGTTTCATAAAGACTGCACTGGGCTGTGAGGCTGCATCGAGTCCAGGCTGTTGGGCTTGTGAGGATTCTGATCAAAGCTACAGCTCCCCTGGGTAAACTTCCCGTTAGTGATCTACCTGTGATCTAGTAGGCTTCGAGAGCAATCTGTCTCAATGAAATCTAAAGTTAGAAAATATGCATGTATAATCAAACTACACATGTAGTTGTGTTGTCAACCACCAGAGAAAATAATACTGCTCCCTCTGTCCCCGACCTTCTGCAACAAGGTGATTGCGATGAAATGCACCAATAACATACAACATAACACCACACTTCACAATTCCGTATCAAAGCATGTCTGAAAATGCTGTTCTGTCCCTTATGCCTAATACGGCATGACTTAATGAACAAAATCTATTTGGGTGGCAGGGTGGCGCAGTGGTAACAGTTAAAGCCTGAGAGCAAAAAGGGCCTGGGATTGATTCACGAATTGGATGTCTTTCTGTGTGGCGTTTGTAAGTTCTCCACATTTTCCCCATGGCTTTCCTCCAAGTTCCCCGGTTTCCTCACATAGACAGCTAAAACAAACGTGCAATTTAACTGATATTGGCCGAATATCATAATGTTGCAAAAGTATCTGTGAAAAATCATCAATTTTGGATTAAACATAAGAGCATCGTCCTCTACCGCAAAATAAAACTTTGCTGGACCCTCCTGAAAAGTAGAGACTCATGGTGAGGCTTTCTTGGGTAAGCAAGCGTAATTATCAATCTTGATTTGAAGCTTTCGTGGCTGCAGGAATCCACACTCTTTGGTTCTTTCGGTAAAGTCACGTAGGTAGAAAAATAAAAAATAAAATAATATCTTCTTGGTTCTTTCGGTAAAGTCACGTAGAATGGAAATAAAATAATAACATTTTTTATTATGTTTTATTTTTATTATTTTATTTCCATTCTACGTGACTTTACCGAAAGAACCAAGAAAATGAATCCCTGCAGTCACGAAAGCTTTAAATCGAAAAAATAATATATCACGACGTTTCGATCACAACACAAGCAGTCGTCCTCAGGTGAAAAAATAACCCAGCAGTGGAACTGCTGAACCAGCGAGAGAGCTGTTACAGCAAGAGGTTATTTATGTGGTGATAGGCAAGCAAGCGGGGTCTGAGCTGGAAAGGAATTCCATCCCCGGACACAAGCACGTCACTTGTGTTAATGGGGGAGATTAGGGAGAGAGAGATTAGGGAGCGAGATTAGCATGAAATGAGCTTCCGTCGCCCATAGGAGTATCGCCCCCGCATATGCGCACAACAGCAGTGTTAATGGGAGATTAGCACTATGTTGATGGGGGAGATTAGGGGGATTAGCAAGTTAACGTCATGTTTGTGTAACACAAGCTGCGGCGCTGCCAACTGCGCTGTGAGGCAAGTGCGTCCACGCAAGAGAACCACCGCAACGGTGGTCGCGCCAGTGAGACAGTGAGACACAAAGCCCATCACACAACCAGAACCATCGATACATCGAGGCTAAGGGAGCAGAGATGGCCATGTTAGTGAGACCCCAGCCCGTTAATGCAGAGGCACCTAACAGGGCAATGCAACTCAGAGAGTCGAAGATAACAGCCAAACGGCAGGGAAGAATGGAAGCACCACAGCAAGTTACGACTTTGCTTGGTTAATAACGTCCTTCCAATGATTGCTCAGCTTATGCCCATCTTCTCTGTTGACATATCTTTGATGGTAGCCCAAAGGTTTGCAGAGTGCCTTGGTCTCGGAAAAATACAACATCGTACGAGCCCACTCCGTTATAACAATGATCAGCCACTGCAGAGGTATTGGTTCTGCCGTGTTTCAAATCTGCCTTCTGTTCGCGAACACGGTCCAAGACATGCCGTTTCGTTTCCCCAATGTAACTACTGCCGCAGACACAATTTAGTTTGTAGACACCAGGGTATTGCATGTCAGGAATGACATCCTTCACAGATGGGATGAAATCACGGATTTTGTGTACTGTATTGAATCGGACCTCGATCTTGTGTTTGTTATAGTTTTGGTAACACCTGCTATGTATGGCAAGGTGATGGTTTTGATTGGGTCCTCAGATGGTTGTCTCCAAATGGTTGGGGATACAGCTTTGCGGATTGTGCGGTCCGAGTATCCATTCATCTTGAGGGCTTGGTGTACGTGCTCCAGTTCACTGGCTAAGTGGCGCTGGTCGGAAATGCAGCGGGCCCTATAGTGTAGTGTTATGATAAGGGAGTTCTTCTGGGCCGGATGGTGGTGGGAGTCAGGCTTTAGATAGGAATCTGTGTGGGTGGCTTTCCTGTAGACAGTGTCCCAATGAGCCATCAGGCCTCTTCTTGATCAAAACATCCAGGAATGGTAGCTTGCCACCATTTTCCACTTCCATGGTGAATTTTATGGATGGTTGTATGGAATTGATGTGGTTGAAAAACTGGTTCAGTGCTGGCTGGCCATGTGGCCAGATGATGAAAGTATCATCTACGTATCTCTTCCACAGGGAAGGACGTAGGGTGGATGTCAGGATGGCATCTGTTTCAAATTTCTCCATGAAAAAAATTAGCTACCACTGGTGATAAGGGAGAACCCATAGGGGTACCTTCATTTTGTTTGTAGAATGTACCATTCCAAATGAAGTAAGTGTTGGTAAGGCAGTGCCTCACTAAAGTTGGTACATCAAAATTCAGTCCCTGTTAGACCAAGTCTTCAATGATTGCTTTGGTGTTAGGTACAGGTACCTTGGTGAACAGAGAGACTACATCGAAGCTGACAAGCAAATAATCTGGAGACAGTGAAATGTCCCTGAGGACGCCCGCTTGTGTTGCGATCGAAACGTCGTGATATATTATTTTTTGTTTGATTTTATTTTATTATTTTCTACCTACGTGACTTTACCGAAAGAACCAAAGAGTAAGCGTAAATATAATAATTCATATTGATGCTTGCCAGGGTATTTTAAACACATTTGAAAATGTGTTTTATTAAATGTGCTTTTCAATACAGCTCTTGCAATCTCCTTATCTATATACACATCGTGGTGGGGACTTCACAGAGTGAAGGGGGGGGGGGCAATCCCCAGCGGCCACAAAATAGGTGTTTTATTGGACAGCATCTTCTATCCCATAGCTGAGGCAGAACCCAACACATGAGGCAAAGTGTGATACATGCGCTACCAAATGACTGCAGTAGCAAGCTCCAGAGTAAATCTTTCACCACTTCACCTCGTTTGTTAGGGCAGCGATTAAGTGAGTGAGTCGCCATGGTGACTCATGTAAAAGACGAAAAAGTCACCAGTTTTTTTTTGTTTTAACCCTTTCCCATTCAGAGATGTCTGCAAGTTGCAGGGTGAGGTCCTGTTCACCGCTGAATCTCAAAATGTGCAAGCAATTCGCGTAAATTGTATTTAGAGGCATAGTGCCATTGTTTTTAAAGACATTGTATTCACTGCAGAGAATTGTAGCGACACCACCGCACTCGATGGTAGCTGGCGCCAAACTGTGGCACATGCCTTCTAGCCTGGCCTTGTGGGAGCCTCGGTACTGATGAAGTAATTTTATTTCGTTTTTTCCTCATCGGAATAGTATCGGATGTACAAATACGTCAACAGAATGGGAAAGGGTTAATATGCCAATCAATTATTTCATATGGCCAATGAAAAGCAACTGTTAAAAACTTAGTTTTAAGTGAATTAGCCATGGATACACACTGCCTTAACATTTATATTTGGAGCCGTGTGAAGGTCTATTGGTCCAAGGTTTGGTGTTCGTAGCCACCATACCTCGCCTCACTACTCTCGCCTTGCACTGAAGCTCATGGTAGAACCCTACGCAGCGTTACTCAAAATCTCTCTCAGACACCAAGGTCTCGAACTGTAACAGCCTCACGTCGATTCTCTGCCATCGCCCCCTCGGTGTGGAACTCTATCCCTTTGCACATCCGCAACATCAAATGCACTCTGACTTTTAAGAAACATCTAAAGGCCTCTATCTGTTTGGTCAGGGCTTTCGAGCAGCCTTGAGCTTGGCTCCACGCCTCCGAGTTGTTGACTTGTCTGCGAAATCTGGCACGTTAAAAAAGCCATTATTATTATGCAATATGGCGATTTCAACATGCAAACGGTCAATAGCAGTATACTTCAATATCTATTTCGATTATAGACGAAAACTTACCTTGAGTTTTCTCACGGCATCTTTTACAACTTCAGAACCTTTGGGCTGGGACACCTCGCAACTACCTAGGTACTGAAATGCACCCACATAATCACATTGTCACATCAAATATAGATGTTTAAAAAAAATCATTGTGTTTGCAGATATGGGTGTTAAAGCACCAGAAGAAATTAACCAATTACAAGTTGAAGATAAAGTACATCGTTAAACAAATGTGTGATTGTGCATGCACATTACCACTAGGGAGCACTTCGCACAAAATGTTCATATTTAACTTAATAGCATTGTGTTTACAGTACACATGATATTTACAAAGTATAGCACAAGAGTGAATTATTTTCACGTTTTCTGTACTTAACAGCACATGTTGCAGAGAGTTTCAGATGGAGAGTATGAATGAAGAGGCCTGTACAGATATATTTTTCCATTTGGACCATTTTTATATTCTGAGTAATGATGAAAATTAATAAAAGATTTGCAAACTCTTGGAATAGAATTGGCACTATCACAGCTTCTTTGTTTTCCATTCGGGAAATACTAATTTTCTTTATATAAAGCGAATAACAACTAAAACAGTGCACATTGTTGTATACAGGATGTCATTTTAGTAAAATTTAAATAGAACTGTATATTTATATATCTACTAAAATATAATTTATAACTTAAGTGCTGTTGAAATACACAACATTAACTCTCAAATTCCAATTCTACTGCATGTATTTAGAAGATAGCAGCAATAACAATACTACATGCAGGGGACATTTAAACTTTTTTTTTATATTATGTAGTTAACGCAACAAAGTTACATATATGTAGTTACAAGCCATATTTGCTTATCTGTCCATTAAATCTTAGTATTTGCATTCAGGCATTCAGACGATTACAACTTGGAATGGAATCATGAATGATTTAGTTTCCTGTACCTTGACACTGTATGACACGCAACTCATGGTGAGCATCTCAGGGGTATGAATCCACGATTTATCTGTTGTGAAATAAAGATGCACAATTGGACATTGCGTTATGTTCACACATACTGTGTAACTTCAATCAGACAGAAAAAAATGGATCAAGAGTGTCAAGGCCCCAGGTCTAGAGTTGGGTTACTGAGGATGCGCCGAGCCATGCTGTTGTGATTTTGCAACACGGGACAAATACCGTGTAAGAGTGTTTAATGTGATTTGTGTGCATAGTCATAGTTTTAATTCACTATGGTTTATTTATAAAGCATAAGACCACATTCATACATTGGCCGTAAGTTATACTCGAATGTAATATTTTCGGTTGTAAATATGGAAAAAGTGTCGACTTGGAAAATATTGCAAATGTTGTTGTGAACTCCCTTTCTATCAACAAATAAACGAGGCCTATGTCCTGCAAAGGAATCTGTTCTCAACAAAACATGACATTACTTTATAAACATAACACAATATTGATTCATTTAATGTTATTCTTTAAATTGTAAACTGTATTTCCAATATGATAAATTGTCAAGGTATTGGCTTAAAGTTTTCGTGACTGCAGGAATTAATATTCTTGGGTCTTTCGGTAAAGTCACGTAGATAGGTTCAAATATAATAACAAAAACTACGACGTTTCGATCGCAACACAAGCGGTCGTCATCAGGAACCACTTGTGTTGCGATCAAAACGTCGTAGTTTTTTGTTATCATCTTTGAACCTATCTACGTGACTTTACCGAAAGACCCACGAATTGGTGAAGGTATTGAAAAAAATCTAGACTTTTTAGAATTTCTTGTCATATATATTCGCACACACATATATCCTGTGAAATATATATTTTACTGGATGAGTGTTGTAATAATACAATCTCAAAATAAATATTTATTTCAATAAATGTCCTACTTGCCTCTATTTAAGCATAATACCAATACCCGCCATTTGCCACTAAGTGGCAGTGATGTCACCATTGCGTCTGTGCCAGGCCAGGTGCACTTTGAGACCACATGAAGTGTCGAAGGCTCGCTGACAGGAGGTCTTGGGACAGACCCCGGTGCCATAGTTTGACTGACTGAGATGACCGGTAGATGCATCAGCTGTATCACCTAATGCGCCATATGACACGGACTGATAGGCCCACCTTTCTTGCGGGTGAAGGGGCGGTGCATGGCTGCCCGTTTGGTTTTGAATTTCCACCACCAGGCAGCAGCTCAAATGTCACACCCAGCAGTGAGCACACCTGGGCCAGATAACACCACAAAAAAACCCTTTTGTTAAGTAAATAAAAGCCACTTTACACTAAACAAAGAGAATGGACTCCAAGTTGTATACTAATTTGAATGTGTAGTTTGACATGGAAATAGTCTGTTCTTATATAACGCGTGTTTTCATAATGCGAATTGGAAATAACGCTCGGGTCGAGCAGTTATATCCATGGGACCTTTTTGCATGTTTTGCCACAACTACTGTGTGTGGTTAATGCAGATTTGATGCCTTGAAAAAAGGTTTCTATTTGGTGTTTAAACATCTTAACACCTTTTATATTGCCAGAAAGGGGTAAAACCTATTCTTATTTTTCGTAATTTTGGATATAACGCGATGAATGTATTAGGGAACATATTTTTTTAATAACGCGGATGCGAAATGAATATAATGCGATCGAGTGAATTTAACTACACCGCGTGAGAAGGAATAAGCGGTTGTACGGCTGCCTCGGTGTAGCATCACACAAGGCAGGATGCTGCTCGATGCTTCTAGATGCTACCCACACGCGCCTCAGTCTTTGTTCAGCCTCTATACACATCTCACCGTGCTATCGCAGACTGTGCTTTACGTTATATTATTGATTAGAATGCGATTTTTCCATAGCGCAGTGTTCTTCAGGAACGCAACTACCGTGCTAATCGAGAACAGATGAGTAGCACTTTCATCATCATAACCTGCCACCAGTCGATGAAGGCAAGTCATTGCTAACTCTCATGGTCACTCGACGCAGCAATCCGTATAGTTCCTGCACGGGACGATTTCATCGCTCCATCTCCATGATAAACGTATTATCAAGACGTTTCCCTCCATTGGCTGCTACGTCATCAATAGTCTCGACTATTGGTCACGATCTCATCTCATGATCTGTCCTGCCTAAGTCAAAATTAGGTTCTTACCTTGTGTATGTTGTCGAATGGATGTTCCTGTCTCTCGGTGTGATTCCAAAACATTCACCTCTCCAACCTTCATGTGCAATTTTCAGCTGTTACATTTTCTTTGTAAATTTCCATGTTTCTAATACATTTGTTATATCGCGGGAAATGCACACCAATTAAACACCTCCCTCTCTCGACAAATCTTAATATCCTTTAAAATTTTCAGTACATTTTTACACAAGCACTCCCACTCCCATACACTTCTGTATTTCATAATTTTGATGGAACATCACACAAAGTACAAACTGTATTACAGTTTGGCATTTATTGAGTCTCCGTGTTACAACGAGTAGAGGCAGAATTAATGCGTTGGCAGCCCTGAATGAGTGTTGGAAATTATATGTTTCCATGGAAGGGTGCAGTCTTCTCTAGAATACATCCACTGTTGACTTTCCCCAATGATCAAAAGCATATATTAATATAGAACAGCTACAATGAGAACACACAATGGCAGAGTAGGAACAAAATACAATTCAGTAGACAAGTCAAGCAAGGATTTACACTCTCACCATGGCTATTCATGGCAACTTTAGAATGTATTTTTTTCCAAAAACACTTGGTTGGAAAAATAAAGGCATAAACATAAATGTAGAAATGATTAACCATCTCAGATTTGCTGACAAAATACTGCAGTGGCTATGAAAACCAACCCGGCATGAATTACAGGAAATGATTTTAGAACTTAACAAATATGGCTGCAAGTTTTCATCAAGATAACTAAAAACAAAACAAAAGTTACGCATGACAAGTGAACATTATTGTTGGAGAGACTCAACTGGAAAATAGCAGAATGTTAACCAAGGGCAATAATTGCAGGAGGATCACCATCTGAATGATTAAGTAAAGTGAAGAATGATGCGCTTTTGGAAAAAGCAACACCCCAATGTGAACTTAATCATGAAAATCAGGATATCATTGTGCCTAAATAAGAACACTTTGAATCAGTGCCATAGCATATGGATATGTCAAATGATAAACAAAATCAGTTGAACATCGAGGCTTGCGTGACCAATATTATCCAGGTTTTTGTTGGAGTTAGATCGCATAGATATTAAATGTTTCGTTAAACCCACCACCACCCGACACAGCCAATTAGTAAGGTCTGTCACATAAAGAAAACATGCCAATTCGTTACAAAATGTAACAAACGCTCTAAACTACACAAATAAGCAATGACAGATGCATGCATGACATTACGCATACACACAGACACAGCGACACAGGGATCAAGTAATACACCTAAATTAGAGCCAATCATATGCAACGTGGCTCTGGTAATATGCATCGCAAGATGGGATGGTGGCTGATGAACAAGACCAGTCACAGAATGTCAGCCAAAGGAGAAAATGTGCCCGCGAGGACGAGCATCAATGGAGCTAGAGCGATGAGACCAGTAGCCTTTGTGCAGAAGTGATCCGGATTGTGGCACCGTGGGACAATTGGGGCCTTGTGAAGGAGTGAAAAGCCTTCATCCAGCAGCGGATTGATCATGACTAATGACTGATCAGGACTACCGACGGTGGTAAGATAGCCAATAAGCCCCCTATTCTGCATATAGAATACAAATTCTACTTTCATAGATAAAATGAAAACCTGCCAAACGCAGGAGCATCATTTCTAAACGTTTTCCTTAGTCATTCATTTTTCTTGCACTGTACAGATTGTCCCAAAGGATTGTCGGCAACACGATGGCTGTGACACTGTTGACTTAGAAGACGAGGTCCATAACCATGGCCAGAGAGAGGGGAGCAATGCCGTTCCAAGCAACCCACCCCCTCGATTAAACATCAGAACCCTCCTCCAACGCCACATTGTTTATCCATAATATCACTGTTCTCCACTTTCAATCCAAGTAATGTCACCACCCCCTCCCCCCCCCCTGGTTTTTAGATGTTTGTTGTGCCACTCGTCTGAGTTATGGCCCTCCCACACTAGTTGAGATTATGATCGACCCTTTCAGTAGCAGCAGCTACTGCTGCTGCCATACCTGAGACGTGGACCGTTGCTTGAGGACGAGTTCGTGTGTGAGGATAGGCGACCCCAGTTCGATTCCCGGTTCTGGGTCTCCCCTAGGTCGACTCAGCCTCAAATGAGTACCTGGTGCAGTGTGTAAAACCATCGCCATTAGGGAAACAAAGGCGGCTGGGCGTGTTGCCGGCCAACCAACCCCCTCGTGTGCCGTGCCGGCCTTCATAGGTGCTACTCGCTAACGGCACTTGCCCCAAAAAAGTATTTTTCGATTTAAAGCTTTCCTACCAGACAGTCTCGTCCCTTCACCTGATGAAGGCCGCTTGTGTTGTGGCCGAAACGTCGTGAGAATATTATTGTGTTATTTTATTTTATCAATTTATTATTTTATTCTCATTCTACGTGACTTTACCGAAAGAACCAAAGAAGACCAAAAAAGTATGTTAAGGCTACACACGGGGGATCTTTGGCTTTTATGAGCATCTTCCCTGCGAAACTGTACTGGATTCCTCACACAATGACATGTAAAGACACGTCGCAAATGTCAGCCAGCCCCAATAAGAAGAGTGCTCGATCAAATCATATTTCACACATGTTGGATTAAAAAAAGCTTTCCCAAAAGTTAAAACTATCCAATAACTTGTCACCTGAAAAATGCTATAAGCATTACCCATATACTGTTAAACTTTTTATACACATATAATACACGTACTACATGTATGATGTATAAGCCCTTTGTTCCATTAAGTAATGGATTAAATGTATCACAACAAGATTTGTTGAATATCTACAATTAATTTACTCACATATGACATTGACAAATAATTTATTTTACTTGCATATCTGGCGCTCTAACTTTCTGACAGTCAAGTGTAAAAACATTTGCTAAATAAATATATATAATCAGTTTCCATTACAAATTCAAACTTGCTCAGCTACAGTGAGGGAAAAAAATATTTGATCCCCTGCTGATTTTGTACGTTTGCCCACTGACAAAGAAATGATCAGTCTATAATTTTAATGGTAGGTTTATTTGAACAGTGAGAGACAGAATAACAACAACAAAAAATCCAGAAAAACGCATGTCAAAAATGTTATAAATTGATTTGCATTTTTGAGGGAAATAAGTATTTGACCCCTCTGCAAAACATGACTTAGTACTTGGTGGCAAAACCCTTGTTGGGAATCACAGAGGTCAGACGTTTCTTGTAGTTGGCCACCAGGTTTGCACACATCTCAGGAGGGATTTTGTCCCACTCCTCTTTGCAGATCTTCTCCAAGTCATTAAGGTTTCGAGGCTGACGTTTGGCAACTCGAACCTTCAGCTCCCTCCACAGATTGTCTATGGGATTAAGGTCTGGAGACTGGCTAGGCCACTCCAGGACCTTAATGTGCTTCTTCTTGAGCCACTCCTTTGTTGCCTTGGCCGTGTGTTTTGGGTCATTGTCATGCTGGAATACCCAACCACGACCCATTTTCAATGCCCTGGCTGAGGGAAGGAGGTTCTCACCCAAGATTTGACGGTACATGGCCCCGTCCATCGTCCCTTTGATGCAGTGAAGTTGTCCTGTCCCCTTAGCAGAAAAAACACCCCCAAAGCATGTTTCCACCTCCATGTTTGACGGTGGAGATGGTGTTCTTGGGGTCATAGGCAGCATTCCTCCTCCTCCAAACACGGCGAGTCGAGTTGATGCCAAAGAGCTCCATTTTGGTCTCATCTGAACACAACACTTTCACCCAGTTGTCCTCTGAATCATTCAGATGTTCATTGGCAAACTTCAGACGGGCATGCATACTGTATGTGCTTTCTTGAGCAGGGGGACCTTGCGGGTGCTGCAGGATTTCAGTCCTTCACGGCATAGTGTATTACCAATTGTTTTCTTGGTGACTATGGTCCCAGCTGCCTTGAGATCATTGACAAGATCCTCCCGTGTAGTTCTAGGCTGATTCCTCACCGTTTTCATGATCATTGCAACTCCACGAGATGAGATCTTGCATGGAGCCCCAGGCCGAGGGAGATTGACAGTTCTTTTGTGTTTCTTCCATCGCACCAACTGTTGTCACCTTCTCACCAAGCTGCTTGGCAATGGTCTTGTAGCCCATTCCAGCCTTGTGTAGGTCTACAATCTTGTCCCTGACATCCTTGGAGAGCTTTTTGGTCTTGGCCATGGTGGAGAGTTTGGAATCTGATTGATTGCTTCTGTGGACAGGTGCCTTTTATACAGGTAACAAGCTGAGATTAGGAGCACTCCCTTTAAGAGTGTGCTCCTAATCTCAGCTCGTTACCTGTATAAAACACACCTGGGAGCCAGGAATCTTTCTGATTTAGAGGGGGTCAAATACTTCTTTCCCTCATTAAAATGCAAATCAATTTATAACATTTCTGACATGTGTTTTTCTGGATTTTTTTGTTGTTAGTCTATCTCTCACTGTTCAAATAAACCCACCATTAGAATTATAGACTGATCATTTATTTTTCAGTGGGCAAACGTACAAAATCAGCAGGGGATAAAATGCTTTTTTCCCTCACTGTATATAATAATTTTCCTCTCTCTTGATCTGTACTGTTGGAGTGGTAAAGAGAAGTTGCCATGCGTTGTGCGAGTTGAGTGTACCCTTTATAGGTCACACCACAGTTGCTGTTGAGAACAACACATTCCTGTGGAGGGAGCTGGTAGGAACGTTGGATTGCTCGGTTAATGGCCAGGGTCTACGGCGGCGTGGTGTATTCCGCAAATATGCCCGACTGTGAGGGCGGGCACAAGCCGGCGTGAGTAGGTTAAATGTTGAGTTTTATAAGGGCACCACGGGGTGACCAGCCCCTCCCCACCTAGCCCCACCCCACCCAGCCCCACCCCTCCCACCCCCCACCCAGCCCCACCCTCCCCACCCAGCCCCTCCCCACCCTCTCCACCCAGCCCCACCTCTCCCATTTTTGGATGCACGACGGACGGACACAATAATCCCCTGTGGGCTGGTGTAAGGAGGTTCCTACCAGTATCATCCATGTATGTTCAATATCTCAAAGTCTCAATATAGCACGGCAGTCAAATATCCTTAATTCATGATAAACAAGGTCACATCATTGTATGTCTACAATATTATAAACAAAACCCCCAGCACAAATATGCTGAGCAGTCCCAAACACGCACACAACAGCATACATAACGCACGGCTTGACAGGGTTATGTCTATGCATCAATTCATAGTAATGCGTATTTCACAAATGAGCTTAACCCCAGAGAAATACAATTGGATGGTGTGCAGTGCTTACCTTAAAAAGTTAAACGACCAAAAAAAACAAGTGGATTTGTGTAGCAGTGAGGGTGGGATGCAATGAGCCAGTTTTGTCTAATTCTACCTGCTTATTTTATACAGTGATTTTTTTTTTAAAAGTGTTATCCATTAACCCATAAAAACCCACTACACGGCCAGTTCCAGAGGACAGTGCATCAGATCGGCTGCCACTGACGGGGCAAATGCTTGTGTGAGTACACGACATTGACTCCACTTTTAGCCTACGCCACCCCTTCACTGCCCGAGACACAATGTACAAAGTGACAGCATCAATCTGCGAACGCTTAACGTGAGCAAGCAGGCACAAATGTAGAGACCGCTGGAAAGAAAGTGGATACCTATAATGCTCAACAAAACTGGAGAGTCTAAATCATTCCCGTGAGTTACGCAAATAACTACGTTGGAATGATATTGATTCGTGAATATTTGGACAAAATGTACCAGTAAAGTCCAAGCAATGAAATCCCATCCCCACACAACTCCCACCCCCCACCCCTCGTCCGGCCGCACATTGAATCAGCTCAGATAGACACAAGACTACATTCCTTCCACACTTCCACCTTGATGTGCCAGCCCAAAACAGCTCGTTTATAGATTGCAAATGAAATTAAGATATAAAATATAGGGGGGGGGGGATACCGTTTTCCAGAAGTAAAGTTACGTGGAAACAGCACCCGAAGATCATGCATTATTAACTGAAAAATGGTCAGGTAATATTTGCAGTAGCTCAAAACAACACTTTTCATTCATAAATCCTTGTACACCTCTAACAGAACGAGCTCACTATTTTCCTACACAGCAGCAGCAGCATTGACCTTAAAAATCCCATCAAACCCATGTGGCCTCATTGCATCCATTGAGGGAGATGTGAAATCCATCTGACCTCATTCTACCCAATTGGATATGGATTCAAACTGACAAAAACTATTCAATGCAGTACTGTATAATGATTGAAAAGCATAACACGTGTGATGTTTAGTAATTACTGCATATATTTTAAAATCGCCATTCATTCTGTATCATCATCAGCCCATGGTCCATTCAGTGCTGGATGAAGGCCCTTCCCAAGGCCGCTGCCAATTCTCACGATCCTGCAATGTGATAGTCCACCTCGCAACTCATTCCAAATCTCCGTGTAAAAATGTTTTTGTTCTAAGCCAAGAGACTAAAAGTTAATCTCTGTATTCAATCAACAAGAATTGCTACACGACATCACACGGTCAGAGTTGTTCACAACATTGTTTTTTTGTAATGTGGAAAGAGAGCACTTGCCAATAATATCTACTAAAGAGGTCCATGGAGGTGAAATGGGCCCACTGTCCATGTTTAAACACATGCTGATGGTGAACATGTCTGGAAGACCAAAAGGTCGATAGACTAGACATATGGTGTATTTTATCTTCATGATGAACTATCAAAAGGAAGGTGATCCCATTTATATAGGGATACACATTATATTCTATAACCGCTGTTCCTTATCTGACTTAACCACTTGAATGTAAAGTTGTAGTTGTTGCTCTGTATCCACATCAGCCATGTACTAAAGAAACAAAAGATTATGTCACCATTATTGAATATTTGCCTTTAAAATGGAAACATTAATTCATGACCAAAGTGAATATATGTTTTAATAAT